AAGCATTGATGCCGAGACATTGGATTTTACCACCAGAATATATATCTTTTCGAGCATTGGCAGACCACCTTGGAAGTAAATATTTAATGGGAATATTAACAATATCTAACTGTCTCATAACTCTCATGCAATGAGAATATAATATACCCATCATTTCGAACTTTGCACAGCTGCATTCAATGGTACATTCTATTGAATTAAAATTGACAATCCAATTGTGTGAATCAGTGGAGTTGTCTATGTTCGTTACACAAAACCTTGATAAATCCGATGAGGAATGTTCAATGTTTAATCCACCAAGTCCATGTAAGAACTCCTCTTCAAAAAATAAATACAACTTTCTTGAATAAAATTTTGCAGCTTGCTTTAATATTGGGCTACTTTTCATATATAGCTCTATATCTGTTTGACTACATCTGAATTCTTCATCTTGTTCATTTCGACGTCAAGTCCTCATCACCTTTTCCAAGCCAAGGAAACACTCAGTGATAGTGCTTGTTGGCTTGGAATAACCATGGCATACAGGATTGGTTGACTCACTACGTTGGATTGATAAAATGTCAAGGTTAAAACAATCTTTGTTAAATGCAGTAGACCACTTCTCCTTGATTTTGTAGAGATCATTCAATCATTGATGGCTTTGTAGGCTTCCTTCTGATATCATTTCAGTCCATTTTCTCTCAAATTCCTCCACAGAATCACATTGTTTGAAACAGTAAAAAAATAAGAATTTAACTCTGTTGTTGCTGTTAAAGCACCAAACCTTTGAAGGTGCCTTCTTGTACAGATGCCATTGGCACAATCTATGCCGTGTATTTGGCAATACAATCTCTATTGCCCGGGCCATGGCTTGGTCCTGATAAGTAAAAATTGTAATGGGATGTTTGGTACCCATAATTTTAAGAAATGTTCTAAAAAGCCACGTAAAAGAATCAACAGTCTCATCAGATAAAATGCAACTCCTAATAGAACATTTTGCCAGTGATTATTAATTCCAACAATTGGGGCACAAGCTAAATTATATTTATTCAAATGATAACTTGTATCGAATATAATCACGTCGCCAAAACAGTCATAATCAATTATGCCAAGACCATCTACCCAGAAGAAATTCAACAAACAACCGTCTTCATCAGTTTCGACATCTCATGCAAACATGTTGTCATCAATTGTCCGTTCTTTAAACAACTTGATCAGTGAATTTGTGTCTCCAGTCTCAATCTTGACAATCCTTTCTTTTTAGATGTAGTTATATGCATCCTGCTTCGTGAAGCCCAGATTACCCACACCTCCAACTTCATCAGATAGGTATGTAAATGCATCGACAGCTCTTATCCCTGCTTTTGACATAGATTTCAAAACAGCTGCATTCTCATCACTAATGCTCCTAGCTGACCTAAGCAAATGTTGATCATCTGGCCTAGCTAGTTCGTGATTGTGACTCTCTATAGCTTTATTCACTTGTCAAACCCCATCTTGACTCACAGAAAATCTAACCATGGTTGGACATCCGGTTCTTGTACATGATCTTAGATATTTTAGCTTTGTGCCACTATCAGTCTCCTTCTTGAAACCAGCTTTAGAACATACAAAATCCTTTGATTTGATTTTCCTTGAATTTGGCCAGAAATGGTGATGATCTTTCCGAACACTGAATCCAGTTGAATGCGCGTACTGGCAATATTTTTCATATGCTTCCAACTCAAAATTGTAAACACCCTATGAAATATTCATACATCCAGTTTAGCTTTATATCTATATATCAATACCGACCTTATACCGAGTTTATACCGAGCTAATATTTATACAATCGGTACAAATGTGCATTACGACTTCTTACCTCGGTATTAGCTCGGTACAAGTGTGCACAGAGTTAATACCAAGCTACTAAAAATAGTACCAATGTTATACCGAGCTATAATAATCAATACCGAGCTTATACCGAGGAAATAAAATGATCGGTTCCATGTATTGATCAGTACTATCTTATACCGAGCGATACTTAACAACTGTAATGATCGGTACTATTACAACCAACGTTTGATCTCTAGAAAGTTGCGTGCAAAAAAATTCATAACAACTTTCACTATCTTGTACCGATCAATACCGAGGTTAGTTAAACACTGTACCTAGTAAAACTAATGGATTTTTATGATTTTACATTGATATCCAGTAATGTAACAGTAGAAAGAAAAAAAATCCTAATAATAAAGCTAATGACTTACTTGTATTAAATCAGAAAAAGCTTGATCAAAGCTTAACGTGGGATTTTCCTCGAAATCAACGAAGTCGTCCGAAGGCAAACCTACATTCGATTCTTCCATCTCCTCAAACACTTCACGATATCTTTACGTGAGGTATATGTGAATTATATGAACCCTAAAGACTGTATAACATCTTAGGTTTAATACCTCAGGTTATTATACCAGAGGTAAAAGCCGCATACTTTCTTAGTTTTCCCGCCCAATTCATATACAATGCGACGAAACTTAAAAAAAGTGCTAAAGCGTATGGGTTGCGTCGGGTCGGGTTACGGGTAAAGGCAGCTACCAGGTGTTGCGTTTTTAAGCTCTACCGACGCAGCGTTGCGTCAGGTAACCTGAGGCAATAAAAATTCCCAATACTGACTCAATCTGCATATAATTCATTTGGTAATAGGTCTTATGGGCATGAGTACATCTAAACTTATCACAGATTATTAAATTAGAAAACACAGATATTTTTTAACTTCATATTGAATCTACATCAAGTAGCTTTGCACAATTATTTGCGAAAAATATGCATGATAAAGATAAATACATTTGTTGGAAACTAACAATTAACCATAAAAAAAGAATCATATTGTCAAACATGAGTCATCAGGAATTCAAATCAAATAATAAGGTGATGGTGCATCTAAATCAAAAAGATGTATAACAAATTGGGACGAAATTTTATAAATTGGAAATCCGTGACAATGCTAATATCAGTTTGATATTTAATCAGATTTGACTTTATTTCATGAACATAGTGTCGGTACTATTGATTTTTCTCTCCTTCATCTCCTCCTAAATTTACACACACACATTAACAAATAGGCCTGCTTAGCTCGTTGCTGAAGCTATTATGGATAATGAGATAGTATCACTATTGATGGTGGATGTAAGACTTTACTCATACAATGTCATGACAAACTTACTTGTGATGACTCATGGATCACACTACAAGAAGCACAATAATTTATGCTCATATTTACTAGGTGAATAACAAATGCTTAATTCATCAGAATAAAATTTTTTCAAAGAAGACTAATTTGATGGAAATATAGAAGTGTACACTTGTCAAATGCATTCGAAGTGACGAGCATTATGAATTTTACATTGTATTTTATTTTTTGTTGGTTATTTTGTTTAAACCATTCCTATGACAATGATTCTCATATGAATAGGATATGTTTTCTTGTATTTTAAGTATTTCGTCAAGACTAGTTCAAAATAGCAAGATTTCAACATAACCCATTAAATTTCAAGTCATTACATCTAGAATTTATATCCAATTCAATAATTAATATGATGAGAATTAGAAGGATAAAAGTTAATGGAATATCGCACCATATTTCTTGTTATTGGTTCCCATACCTTAAAAATCTGCTGGCTCCTTTCCAACTTCCTTTCACTACTTTGATTCCCGCTTCATTGCTTCCCATTGTTATCACCTTTGATTTTGTCAACGAAAACTCGGATTCCCTCATTAATGTTTCCCACTACCCATGTCTTCACTATGTGCTAGTTCCATTGATATTGTTTCTGAGATTTCTTCTTCTGCACTGTCAAATTTGACTTCTTCCTTCCCACCTAAATTTTCTTCATAGTTTTATACCAGCAAATTCCATAGATCTTCCACAAATAGTGAGCTTTCTCTCACTCTTAACAATAGATGCATATAACATGGTTTAATCACTATAAAACATGGTGTCAATATGCAATTGATGTGTGATTCTTCTTTGTATTTCATATACACTAAATCATTTCTCCAACTATTATTACATATTTGCAACTTGAACATCTAACTCCTCACTAGGGAAAGAATAAATCCGTTAATGAAGATTACGAAGATGCATTTAGAATTATTTGATTACAAGACCTTACTACAAAGTGCATCAACGCCATACAAAATCATGAGTTTTGTTTTCATATAGTTGGCACTGCTTTTTAAGACTTATGATACAGCCAGAAACTAAAAATAATAATATTTGTTGCTCACATCACAAACTACACATTACGTTTTCCTTCAAAACTACTTTAAGTGAGATTTAACCATGATTTCACTTAAAGCTTTTTACGCAATTCTTGGGGGCAAGTAAATCTTATGATTGTGTTAGAACCATTTTTTGTCCTTTTAAGGTTTTAATGAATTTGATTAGTGAGGGGAGGTGAGGTGGTGTCAATCCAAGGCATTTATCTTGTAATATCCAAAGACCCATTTTTTTTCAGGTATGCGCTTATATTGTGTGAAGCTTTGATTAGTAGCTAATAGCTATTTATTTAAATAAAAGGATTAATTAAGGATCAATTAAATAGTGGAATTAAAATAATTAACTGAGTTTTTAATTAGCAGCCGAATAGATGCTTTGGGGAGGAAACTATTGGAAGTCGGTTGTAGAGTGGGACCCACTCTTTTATCCATCTCTGGAAATCATTCCTAGGAAACTGCCGCTGGTTCAGTAAAGAAATCAGAGAAATCCTGTAACAAAGTTCGGCACAGTGGTTCCGTTACTGTAGCAAGAGGCGGAGAGTTGGCTTGGAAGTCATAGCATGGAATTACTGTAGTGAAGTTCAGAACTCCCTTGGCAGCATTCCTGCAGTGAAGTGCTACACTTTGAGGAAGGAGTTGGGTAATATTTCCTATAGAAAGATGTTCAAAACATTGATGAAAGAGTTTTGCAGCAAAAATGCTGAAGGGAAATGGTTGAATTGATAGTGCAAGAGGATTTCAACGCTATTGACCGGAAGAGAAGTCAATAAAAGTAGTGTAATTCGGATTTATGTGCAGCGAAGTGCTTGTGGAGAAGATATTGTTAGGTATGTAAACTTGCGCAAGAATTTATAAGATTTAAATATGATTAATATAGAACTATATGATGAAGTGTAAGTTGATGTAAGTTTTCAAACTAATGATTGAAGCAGTGAAGGAAAATTAAGACGTTCGAATTGAAGAGTGACTAAATCTTAGAAGATAGACAAAGGTAAGAATCCTAAATTTCTCTATCTTTTATACTAGTTCAATTCAATAAAGTTCTTATGCAAATCATAATTTAGGGTGATATAGATTATATAGTCTTATGCAAAGAGGAGGCTTTGGAGTGATTTATAATAGAAGAAAAGTAAGAAGTGAAGGTTTGGAAGAAGCAAACCGTCAAGAAGGTAAGTAATGCAAATTAAAGTTTTAAATGTAATTCTTGTTAATTTTACATTGTATATTAGTATTTGAATGAATGCAAGAGAAATATGCATTCCAAGCAATTCTCTGGCTAAAGGATGTTCCTAACTTAGTTTCCATATATGAAAGACCTCTTATATATTTGCATCATGAGACTTTAAAATAAGAGTTCTTATGTTTCATTAAAGATTTTACTAGTTGGAAATATTTTGGAAAGAATCTCCATTCTTACGATATGATACACTATTTCATTATACAAATGAGTAGCATATAAAGATCTTTATGAATGCCACATTGCAAGTATGAGTTATGTTATAAAAGTATATTGAATATCAATTTAACATAAAGTTTGGCTATATGTATATGATGTATGATTTACAAGGATAGTTGGGACAAAAGGGTTCCCAAATATGTAACTACCTTGTAAGTGGGGCAAAAGGGACCCCAAAAGAAATGATACCTGCATAGCAGGCGGGGCAAAAGGGACCCCTAAAGAGGCAAAAGGGACCTCTATGAAATTCAATGGCGATAACATCCTCATCTTTACACCCATCCACTTATAATATTATGCTTTCTCTTTTTAATGGCCAACATTTTCACCATAAAGCTTGCAGGTCTCACCACCATCTTATAGAATTTTCCCTTAAGTTGTGGGGGACTTTCTTCAATACAAGAAGCCGGATGCATTCCTCCACTTCACCACCCAACTTTGATTCTTAGCTAAATTCCATCTATTTTCCATCACTCTTGAAAATAGCCCAGTATCTAAAAACATGTACTCTTATTAATGACTTGTCACCCCAAAGTCACAATCCTCCACGTAGATCTATACACTAAAATACACTCATATAATTCAGTTTTTAGCATCTACACAAACGAAAACCTTAGACTAAAAGGTTGACCTCCAAATTAAGTTTAACCTTTAACTCCCTCTTTGTCTTATTCAACAGAAGATATATCATCAGCAAAGCTATCACAGGCTACAATCTCTTTGGCATGTCTGTGATACATCCATGGACTAAGCAAAAGATTTGGGCTTAAGGCTAATCGTTGATTTGGCTAATCACAAAAAATAGAAAATACGTGGTCACCACTTGCGTTGTGACAACAGGTTATCATTACATACTATCTAATTGCCTTGAATACAGTGTTATAAGGAGAATGCGGAATCGAGGCGTGTTTTTCTAGCGGAGGGCGAGGCGTAAGCCTAAAACGATTAAAATATAATTATTTAAACTTATAATAATGACAAAATAACAAAATATGTATGTCAATTATGAATTTAAAGATTTGTTTTAAGATAATACGGTCTTGCGGGGTCAAGGGGGCGCTGCCTCCTGGCGGTCTCGACTGCGCCGGTAGGTCGGCGGTGGGTCAAGGGGCAGCGGCTCTCGACAAAATTTCTTATAAGAGTAATTTTAAATTCTACTTGTTTTTCAAGTTCTATAGTTGTTTGTATGGAAAGATACTGGCATGTACCGCTCATCGGTACGAGCGGTACTGGCTCAGGTACCTGAGCATGTGTACTAGTGGGTGAGACATGCAATGATTTTAAGACGTGAATTTGCCATTAAGATGGAGATAAATAATTTGCTTATTGTTTTAAACTCCCATTGCAAAGGAAGACAGCCCATTACTGGCAGTGTTCGAGAGCCAAAGTTGCGAAAGAGGAAGCATGTAAAGTTTAAACGTGGTTCGAACAGGTTAGTGCGGTATTCGAGTTCCGACTTCACCGAAGCGTGCGTACTCAACCCAGCGGTCGACAGGAAGAAAGGTCGTTCCGAGCACGTCTGCGCGGATCGAATTAACTCATTGTGGCGAACAGAAGCAGCTCTCAAAGGGACGAGAGCGGAAGCAGCGGCGCTCGAAGCATAAGGAATTGTTTCTTCTCTGTTGAGCTCCATCGTCCTAATGAGGCGTCGCCTCACGCTGCCTCGGAGCGTTACGCCTCGATGCGTAGCCTCGCTAAAAAAATCGCACGCCTCGTCAAGTAGATGGAGCTTAGCCTCAAGGCGGCCGGGTTAGCGCCTCGAACTGAAGCGCGCTCTGATTCGGAGCTCCCTCGGGCCGCTATTTTTAATCGATGCTTGAATCATAAAAGCCATTTATTGGAATCTTCTTTCTCTAGAACTTTCTTAACGCTTATCTTGGAACTTTAAGTTATTTTCTCTAATAATAAATATCATATGAATAACCCCCTTATTCTCTCTTGCTTCTCCTCAAACCTCTCGTATAAATGTATCTTCCATAGTAGACTGATTAACATGAATCTAAATTGATCTTGAGAACATTAGTATTATGTTGTAACTAGCTCATAACTCTCTCCTAAAGTTTTAAAGCATGCACTTAATTTAATTCCTCTTATTCGCGTCAACAATCTTGCAACTCACCTTTATTCTTAAAATAGAATCAACACTCCTTCCCAATTCATCTGACATCTTTAGTTCTCAAAGAATTAAAAAGTTTAGTAGGCCAAGAATCAGTCATCTCGTTGCATTTTCACATCCTGTGGATATGTCACGGTCAACATGTACAGAATAAAAAAGTTTGGGGGGGGGGGGGGTTGAATTGTGAGATCCATGTTGTGCTTTGGAGATGTATGGGTGAGTGAATTTGATGCCATTATGTTTGTGCATAATCATTATTTATTGAGTCAATTTCAGAAGCCATTTTTGTTTATCTACCACTACTAAACACTGTTCTTGTTGGTAATTTTTTTATAAGTAAGGGCAATGGAGAAGACGAATTATCTATATATTTGTAGTTCATTTTAATGTGAGTTTGGAAGTTGAATCCTTTTAATTGATGGCAATAATCTAGTGGCTAGTTATTCATCAACTTTGCGTTTATTTTGGTATGGTATGCTTATTAAACTATCTTTTACATGCTCAGTCTGTCAGAAAGAGCTCTGAAATTGCAGACTGAGATCCGAACGAGCGAATCATGGAACAGGTTGGCGTAAAGAATATCCTTTTGTGTTTTTACAATTTGTGTGCACAGTTCCTTACATTTTCTCCTCTCTTGGTTTTTTTTTTTCTTTTTTGATGGTTGTGATCTTACATGCTTGTTGCCACTTTTCCTTAATTGGGAGCAAGTTTTTGATTAATTGGAGAGGAAAAAGCTGCTCAAACAACAGAGGATAATGCGTCTCTAGGAAGCGTGCCAGATGTCCTGATTGACATAGAGGCCGAGGCTAATGAAGGTAGTCATCACATTTCTCTTAAGAGAGGCAAAAGGCTTATCATTTCTTTTTTCCATGGTTCAAATTTAGATAGTTTTGGATCTTTTCAAAAGAAATAGTTTCTCTTTTAAGTTTTTATCTACCAGTAGTTAGCTACTTTAAGTATCTATCCTTGGAGGTTCTTATTAATGCAAATGTAAGTATTATAATGACACATCAGTTTTGTTACTCTTAATGCAACTACATGGTCGTTGTAAGACCCTAATCAAACATATGCTCTTCAATCCAAAATGTCTAGATTGTCCTATTTCATACTAAGGATTTGGCACATAGAATTTAACTAAGTTGGATCCAACTAATCTCATAAAATTATGGATAATAAATTCTGTAGATGTTAAATCTTGCAAGCACATTAGCATGAAGCTGAATGAAGTTGGGCTAATTCTATAATGTCTGTTGTGGTATTTTGGTTTCAAATGAATATTATTTGAAGTAACTTAAATGTTTCTTTAACGGAAGGCTATGATGGGACGCAATGTAAGTTGTGACGTTGGTGTTAAAATGAAGTTAGAGGAAGGATGTGGGAACCAATTGGTTAAAACTCAAGTGGGTTGAGGTAGTCATGCTTAACACTTATGGGAAGCAGTCTAGCATGATATCAAAACTATTTTAGTAACAATATAGTTCTTCTAAGTGAGCAATTGACAAATATAAGAAGGTTTGTGGGCTTGTGATAACTCATGTACTTGTCAGGCAGAGATACAGGAATGCAATTCTGCATAGATCATGACACGCCCACACTCTAACCTATACAGTACTGTAAAGTGTTAACAATATCATTATAACATTTCATTATTATCTCTCATTTTGGTGAGTTCATTATGCATATTAATAAAAGATCTATAAACATCATTTGATACAGGAAGCATCTATATTCCCCAAATTTCAGTCACTATCCAAAACTTATACATAGCCACTAATGAAATCCAAACAATCTCAAAGATTACAACATTAACCAGTTTACTACCTCAAGAGTAGATTTCAGCAAATTTAATAAACTTGACTCGATAACTTACAACTGTTAGCACTTGCGCTCACTTTTCTTTTCTTTCTTAACACGCAGTTGAAATCTGGTACACGAGCGGCGGCCTATAGGAAGGTATATGAGCTGTATGGCCGTAGTATCTTATGAAGATAGAAAATTTAGACATAAAAGCCATGAATAAGTATTTATTAGACTAGAGAAACTACAAAAAATGTTTCATTTGACATTACCTGTATGTATACCTTAATGCCATCTGATATCACTTTTCTCATTAAATGTTTGGCTATTCCTTTCATAAAATAAATGTCAATTGAGCCAGGAAAATCTGGCAATTA